GCCTGCATTATTCGCCGATACATCACACAGTCCTAGACACTTGGGAAGAGTCCGACTTGTGCTCTAATACAAAATCCAGCATAGTGATCTTGTTTGCTGTGTACTAATCTTGTGTATCAAACGATGATGATGATGATGATGATGATGATGATGATGATGATAATTCACTGAGCTGCTTGGGTCATCATTGGACACATTCCAGCTTGTCAAGAGAGATATTGACAAGCTGGAATGTGTCCAGAGGAGGGCGACTAAAATGATCAAGGGTCTGGAGAATAAGCCCTCTGAGGAGCGGCTTAAGGAGCTGGGCATGTTTAGCCTGAAGAGGAGATATGATAGCCATGTATAAATATGTGAGAGGAAGCCACAGGGAGGAGGGAGCAAGCTTGTTTTCTGCTTCCTTGGAGACTAGGACACGGAACAATGGCTTCAAACTACAGGAGAGGAGATTCCATCTGAACATGAGGAAGAACTTCCTGACTGTGAGAGCCGTTCAGCAGTGGAACTCTCTGCCCCGGAGTGTGGTGGAGGCTCCTTCTTTGGAAGCTTTTAAACAGAGGCTGGATGGCCATCTGTCAGGGGTGATTTGAATGCAATATTCCTGCTTCTTGGCAGGGGGTTGGACTGGATGGCCCATGAGGTCTCTTCCAACTCTTGGATTCTATGATTCTATGATCATCAATACCACCATAATCAGGCACAGCTTCATCCTGGCAAATACACAATCTCAGCTCTCAAAATATTGTCATTTGGCAAATGAGATTGAAAAGTCAGCGCAAGTCCTATTACAGAAATATTTGTTTTTCGTTTGCTGAAGCGGGAAAAGTGAAGGTGCAAAGAATTTTTGCATTCCAGGATAACCTTTTCCATATGTGCTTTTTCAGAGAGTCTTTGTGTATGTGTATGTATGCATACACACACATACACAGATCTCAGGTGGGTGGAGTCCCTTTGGCAAAGGAGTCGAGAAAGAGGCCCCTCTCACTGGGACTTGGGCACCTCTTCTGCAGAGGAAGACCACATCCTTCCTCCCAAACATCTGCAAATTGAGTCTGAAAAGTTCATTTAATGCACGAGGCATTTGCTTGGTACTTTGCAGAGCATTTTCCCTAGAGCAGCGTTTCTCAACCTTCCCTTTAATACACTTCTTCATGTTGTGGGACCCCAACCAGAAAATTATTTTCATTGCTACTTCATAACTGTAATTTTGCTACTGTTATGAATCATAATGTAAATGTCTGATATGCAGGATGTATTTTCACTCACTGGACCAAATTTGGCACAAATACCCAATACACCCAAATTAGAATATTGGTGTGGTTGTGGGGTTATTGGTTTTGTCATTTGGGAGTTGTAATTGCTGTGATTGATAGTTCACCTACAATTAAAGAGCATTCTGAACTCCACAAATGATGGAATTGGACCAAATTTGGCACACAGAACTCCCATGACCAACAGAAAATACTGGAAGGGTTTGGTGGGCATTGACCTTGAGTTTGGGAGTTGTCACCTACATCCAGAGATCTCTGTAGACTCAAAACAATGATGGATCTGGACCAAACTTGGCAGAGATACACAATATGACCAAATGTGAACACTGGTGGAGTTTGGGGAAAAACAGACCTTGACATTTGGGCATTGTAGTTGCTGGGATTGATAGTTCACCTACAATCAAAGAGCATTCTGAACTCCACAAATGATGGAATTGAACCAAACTTGGCACACAGAACTCCCATGACCAACAGAAAATAGTGGAAGGGTTTGGTGGGCATTGACCTTGAGTTTTGGAGTTGTAGTTCACCTACATCCAGAGATCTCTGTGGACTCAAACAATGATGGATCTGGACCAAACTTGGCAGAGATACACAATATGCCCAAATGTGAACACTGGTGGAGTTTGGGAAAAACAGACCTTGACATTTGGGCATTGTAGTTGCTGGGATTTATAGTTCACCCACAATCAAAGAGCATTCTGTAACACACCAGTGACAGAATTGGGTGAAACTTCCAACACAGAACCCCCATGCTCTGAAAGAACTTGCTGGCACGAGCCTCCTCCAGCCTCACACGCTCTCCCTTGCCTGCACATGCGCATCATGCTGCCATGCACCGAGCACGCCTGCTCTCCCCTCCCTGCCTGGAGTCTCAGAAACAGCCCTCCCCTTGGCTGAGTGGCCGGCCAATCTTAGTTACTTACTTACTTAGGCAATCCCTCGTTGTCCGAGTAGGATAGTCTTCAAAGATTGGTGTACTGGCGGTGGTTCCGTAGGTGACTGTGGACCCCTATTCTTGATCTGCATCTTCTCCCATAGTGAGGGCATTGGTTTCCAGGTGGAAGGCAGTCTCGGTCGGGGTTGGCTTGGCACACCTTCCTCTTGGCACAGTTCTCTCTTTTGCCCTCCATTCGTGCCTCTTCAAATTCTACAGCACTGCTGGTCACAGCTGACCTCCAGCTGGAGCACTCAAGGGCCAGGGCTTCCCAGTTCTCAGTGTCTATGCCAGAGTTTTTAAGGTTGGCTTTGAGCCCATCTTTAAATCTCTTTTCCCGTCCTCCAACATTCCGTTTTCCGTTCTTGAGTTTGAAGTAGAGCAACTGCTTTGGGAGACGGTGGTCGGGCATCCAGCCGACGTGGCTGGTCCAGCAGAGTTGATGGCGGAGGACCATCACTTCGATGCTGGTGGCCTTTGCTTCTTCCAGTATGCTAGCATTTGTCTGCTTGTCTTTCCAAGAGATCTGCAGGATTTTCTGGAGGCAGTGCTGATGGAATCGTTCTGGGAGTTGTGTGTGATGTCTGTGGACAGTCCATGTCTCGCAGGTGTATCGCAGGGTTGGGAAGACAATAGCTTTATGAACAAAGCTGTTGGGATCCAATTTTCCTATGAGTAATAACCCAAAGTCCGCAGAATAATGGGAGTTGCAGTCTTACAGGATTTTTCATCTTCTCTGCAAAGGACAACTCCCAGGATCCCATCGCACTGAGCCAGAGGAGCTGCAAGTGGGGCCAAACCACATTCATTCCTCATGTTGTACTTTACTCTTTCTGGATGGCACATTGGAATTATAGAGATAACATGCCTGGCAATAACCCTGATCTAGTTACTAGAAAAGGAAAGTGAAAATCCCTTGGGCTGGAGAAGGCCCCTGCCTTGCCCAGCCATATTTCTAGTCTTCCAGACTGAGGAAGATGGGAGTCCGAGAATCCGAGAGTCAGAAGGGTCCCCGAAAGGTCATCCAGTCTAACCCACTTCTGCCAGACAGGAAAGCACAATCAAAACCTTCCCAGCAGATGGCCATCCAGCCTCTGCGTAAAAAATAATTGTAATAATAATAGAAGTATCGAATCCTAGAGTTGGAAGGGATCCCAGGGGACATCTAGTCCAACTCCAATCTACAATGGAATAAAAGCACAATCAAAACCTTCCTGACAGATGGCCATCCAGCCTCTGTATAAATAAAACGAGTAATAATAATAGAACTATAGAATCAAAGAGTTGGAAGGGACACCCAAGGGACATCTAGTCCAAGCCGAATCTACAATGGAATAAAAGCATCATAAAATCTTCCTGACAGATGGCCATCCAGCCTTTGTATAAATAATAAAGAGTAATAATAATTGAACTACAGAATCCTAGAGCTGGAAGGGGACATTTAGTCCAACCCCAATCTACAATGGAATAAAAGCACAATCAAAACCTTCCTGACAGATGGTCATCCAGCCTTTGTATAAAAATAATAATAGTAATAATCAAACTATAGCATCCTAGACTTGGAAGGAACTTCAGGGGACATTTAGTCCAACCCGAATCTACAATGGAATAAAACCACAATCAAAACCTTCCTGCTAGATGGCCTCTGAATAAATAATAATAGTAATAATAATAGAACTATCGAATCCTAGAATTGGAAGGGACACGCAGGTGACATCTACTCCAACACCCAATCTACAATGGAACCACAATCAAAACCCTCCTGGGAGATAGCCATTCTGCCTCTGCATTGACAACAGTAATAATAATAATAATAATAATAATAATAATAATAATAATAATAATAATAATAATAATAGAATTACAGGATCCTAGATTTGGAAGGGACCCCAGGGGATATCTAGTTTAATCCCAATCTACAAGGAAGTAAAAGCACAATCAAAACCCTCCCAACAGATGGCCGTCCAGCCTGCATAATAATAATACAATAATAATAATAATAATAATAATAATAATAATAATAGAATGCTAGTTTTGGGAGGGACCTGAAGGGCCACCCATTCCACCCTTCTTTCTGCCGTTAAGCAGGAAAAGCACAATCAAAACCCTCCTGACTGATGGCCATTCAGCCTTTGAATATTGATGATAATTATAATAAGGTCTTGTAAATAATAATAATAATAATAATAATAATAGAACTGTACAATCCTACAGTTGGAAAAGTCACCCCCTCAAGAGCCTTCCAGCAGAACCCCCTTCTGCTCATCCACCCAACACCCTTCTTTGTGCCATTATGTAGGAAAAGCACCAACATAAAACAAACTATGCTGGACAAGATGGCCCATTCAACCTGGCTGCATAACTACTACTACTACTACATAATAATAATAATCAAGAATAATAATAAGAAGTAGAAGAGTAAGAATAATAAGAATTCCCAACCCACGCTTCACATTTCCTGCCATTATGCAGGAAAAGCATAATCAAAACCCTCCTGACAGATGGCCATTCAGCCTCTGCATCATCATCATCATCATAGAAGGCTAGAGTTGGAAGAAACTCCCAAAGGACAGATGGCCATTCATCCTCTGCATACTACTACTACTACTACTACTACTAATAATAATAATAATAATAATAATAATAATAATAATGGAATACTAGAGTTGGAAGGGACCCCAAGGGCCACCCAGTCTGACTCTCTTCTTTCTGCCATGAAACACCATCAAAACCCTCCTGACAGATGGCCGTTCAGCCTCTGCAATCATAATATCATTATGGGACTCACTCACCATGGCTGCTCCGGAGGCGAAGAGACAGAAGGTCCTCCGTCCTCCTTCCTCCTCCTCCTCCTCCTCCTCGGTCTCCTCCTGAGTCCGCCCCCTTCGCCCTCCTTCGTTGCTTGGACCCTCCCCTTGCTTCCCTCGGAAAGGAAGGCTTTCCCCCAAGAGGCTGGATGGCCGTCTGTAGGGAGGGCTCGGACTGTGTCTTCCTCTATGGCAGGAAGGGACCCGACTGGATGGCCTTAGGGGTTCCCTTCCCACTCTAGGCTGTTATGATTCCACTGTGAAGTAACAGAATTGTTGGGAAAGGGTTCTGTTCCTGGTTTGAAGGTGTTATTTCCTGTTTCAGGGTGCAGTCCTTAATTTTGAAACTTTGTTTTAGTTGCACAGACTATGTTGCATTGGTTGAAACTAGAGGAAATATTCACTGGAAAACTAGAGCAAAACCAGATCATCCAGATTATTTGCTTTGAACTGGATTATATGAGTCTACATTGCCATAAAATCTATATCATCAAAGCAGTTAATCCAGATTATCTGCTTTGAACTGGATTATATGAGTCTACACTGCTGTAAAATCCAGATTAGCAAAGCAGTCAATCCAGATTATCTGCATTGAACTGGATTATATGAGTCTACACTGCCATGAAATCCAGATTATCAAAGCAGTTAATCCAGATTATCTGCATTGAACTGGATTATATGAGTCTACGCGGCCATAAAATACATATTATCAAAGCAGTTAATCCAGATTATCTGCATTGAACTGGATTATATGAGTCTACACTGCCATAAAATCAAGATTATCAAAGCAGTTAATCCAGATTATCTGCATTGAACTGGATTATATGAGTCTACAGTGCCATATAATCCAGATTATCAAAGCAGTTAATCCAGATTATCTGCATTGAACTTGATTATATGAGTCTACAGTGCCATATAATCCAGATTATCAAAGCAGTTAATCCAGATTATCTGCATTGAACTAGATTATATGAGTCTACATTGCCATAAAATCCATATCATCAAACCACTTAATCCAGATTATCTGAATTGAACTTAATTATATGAGTCTACGCTGCCATATAATCCAGATTATCAAAGCAGTTAATCCAGAAAATCTGCATTGAACTGGATTATATGAGTCTACGCTGCAATATAATCCAGATTATCAAAGAAATTAATCCAGATTTTTTTTGTCATGTCAGGAGTGACTTGAGAAACTGCAAGTCGCTTTTGGTGTGAGAGAATTGGCCATCTGCAAGGATGTTGCCCAGGGGATGTTTTGATGTTTTATCATCCTTGTGGGAGGCTTCTCTCATGTCCCCGCATGAGGAGCTGGAGCTGACAGAGGGAGCTCATCAGCGCTCTCCCCGGATTTGAACCTGCGACCTGTCAGTCTTCAGTCCTGCCAGCACAGGGGTTTAATCCACTACACCACCGGGGGCTCCAGTTAATCCAGATTAATTGCATTGAACTGGATTATATGAGTCTACACTGTCATAAAAATCCAGATTATCAAAGCAGTTAATCCGGATTATCTGCATTGAACTGGATTATATGAGTCTACACTGCCATATAATCCAGATTATCAAAGCAGTTAATCCAGATTAACTGCATTGAACTGGATTATATGAGTCTACGCTGTCATCAAATCCAGATTATCAAAGCAATTAATCCAGATTATCTGCTCTGAATTGGATTATATGAGTCTACAATGCCATAAAAATCCAGATTATCAAAGCAGTTAATCCAGATTATCTGCATTGAACTGGATTATATGAGTCTATAGGCC